CAAATACCCGGCTTCATATTCGCATTTCTCATTTATAACTCATAATTACATTTCATTCTAGTAGAAAGTAGTGGTCCATATACTTTACTCGATTGAGCTTTATCTCGTTGATAATGCCGGAAACAATAATTTCTATCTGCTATATACATTCCCCATCGAAAAAAATGGGTACACATTTTTTGATAATACGTAACAAGTTTATTATTAACTGTTTTATTTTTTTACTCAAAAGGCGGATAAATGACTAATTAGTTAATTAGTATTTTGTCTAACCGCCTTCAGCATCAATGCCGGTTTCGGATGCACCGAAGATTTTTTTTCTTTTTGTGCCACCAAATTTTTGATACTTTTCTTTAAATGGTCCAATATTTTCAATAAAATTCGAGCCTGGACTGTATGAAAGTCGAGGAAAAACTCGGCTCGGAAGACGTTCTTCCAAGTCACGCTGAATATCTCGTGGGGTAGGTTATCTTGTTGGAAAATCCACTTACGACCATCTTACTGCATTTGCGTTGTCATACAAATAATCATCTAAATTTTCCGAGTCTAAAAAAGACGCGGTATTTCTACGCTACTCTTTTCGCCGAAAACTGTAGCATAGGAAGGATACAGCTTTGTTGGAAATTACTTAATTTCAAATCAGTAATTGGTTACTCTCCCGAGATTGTTGACTCAACCGCTCTTGCGAGAGGCTAACTGGAATGATAAAAATGCTGATTATTTATTACAGACTATGCTTATGTGTAGTTTGTAAATTTATTTGTTTAAATTATGTAAATGGTAGCGAGTTGAAGTATTATTTCCTAAGGAGCTTTCACCGTAGTAACAACACGTTGCGTATAAAACGTGCATACACAAAATAATTTTAAAGGTAATAGTAAAATGTGATATGAATTAAAGCACTAATTTTGCGACTGCAAACATTTAGAATGTAGTTAGCTCGAGGAGAAATCTGGTGCAAATTAGAGAAAAAAAATATTAATTTTCTACAACCACAAGGGCAGAACACTTTTATTTTAGTCATAGACGATTAAAAAAATACAGATTATATTGATAATTAATGAATAATCTGGGATTTGAGATGTCGCCATACCATATACCATGTGTAACAAAAAAATTCCATAACAAATAAAAAATAATAACTCAACAACGTGTGAGATTATTGACAGTTTAAAAATACATAATTATAGTGTTATCTCTATTTTCTAAACAAGCTCACATATGTTTTCTGTTGATACAATTAAAATTATCCAAAATTGCGTCTTATTCTTCAGTCATAAACAGTTTAATACTTTAACCTAAACATTAGTTTTTTAACACTATGTGCCACATGTGTTTAAGTCGGGATTATTGGATAGCCAGTCAATATAGTCTGAATACCATTTACTCTCTTGGAACAACGTGAAGTATGCTTCAGATCATTGTCTTGTCGCGGACATCAGTTATTACCATACATATTGTGAGCGGCAAGGAAGAGCCGCATCTGCAATATACAGTACTTACATTACAGGGTCCATATTAATACTTGTGAGGCAAAATAAAGATGTTTTTCTCTTTCGGAAATGCTTCCCCATGCTATGACTTTTGGCGCAATCTTGGTAATCAACGAATAGATTTTTATGCAGCCAACGCAACGGATCTTGCTCCGAAAAAATTGATAAATCTCATCAGTGAATAAATTTGATATCAGTTGTCTTGTAAATGTGCTTGCACCCAAGCTTTTCATTGTTTAATATTCTGATTGGTAGGTAACGGCATTACACAAAGCATAGAGCTCTTACTTTTTTTTTACGTGTCGCCAAATAGTATTATGTGAAATGGAAACAATTTGTGTCTGTTGTACAGAACCAGCAAGCTTCCGCATTTATAGAATATTATGGCGTGCATGCTATTTGAAGCGTTAGAACACTTTGTATAATCTTAGAATAACGTCCGTCTTTCTTTTTGTGCTCAACATCTCCCGTATCTCAAAGTTTTATCAAATCGTCAGCAACAGCATGATGAAGCTTGGTTTTTTAACAGTAATGGTCGCTGAGCTTCAAGTCTCGAGTTGACCATTATCGCAAAGGAGCAAATAACAGAATAACAGGTTTGGTCGAGACATTTATTGTTTAAATATAGTTTATTAAAACGGGTAATTTATTGAAAATTAAGACGCCTTTGTAATCATAACGCGCTTTCTTGTTTACCTACAAAATGAATTGAATTTTCGGAATGGCGTTTTTTTTTCGTTACATAATGTATAAATCTGGATGTAATTAGTAACAGTTAAAAAAAAGTTGTTGTTATTGTTGTTGTTGTTTTTTTTTTAAATTTTAATAAATAAAGTTATTATATAGTCAACCTCGTTAATTCCAATCTTTTAATGTGTTGAGCTCGAAAACAATCTATTTTTATTTATTGACATAAAAATTTGCTTACCCAAACTTATGGTAAATTTCTGTAATCCGCAATCCAAGGCAGTTGTGAAAACATACCATACAGAATTTCTCGTTAATATGCAAACTTGTAATCCGATTAATCTCATCATAACTTTCCTCTTTGAATTTGTTTTCTGATAAGTTATACAAACAGATAGTCAGATACTTGGAGATACTGAGAAAATACCAACCGATAAAGACTATAGAAATCATTACGGGCATTAAACCATTAGAGCAGTACGAATAATGCGAAAAAGAGAGTGAAAACATTTTTAAGATTTACTAGACAAGAATATACATTCGACATCAATAGTTAAAATTGAAATTCAAGTAAGCGACAATTACATATTGACAGTTTCTCACATCTAAAGCGAGATGACATAATCAAATTAGAGTCCATCTTGTGTACTTTGCAACAACAATTAACTAAATAAAATTTAAGTTGTAAATAAATAATTGTCGAATTTAGCATAAGCAAGTTTGGCTTATTGGAGAACCATAATCGTTAATCTGAAGACGCTGTCAATCCAACTCTGAATTAACGAGATCGACTATGTGATATTAAAACCGTCAGTTATTATTTTTGGTATTCATACTATAAACCAAAGGTAGTATTGTTTTTTCGGAAGTTTCTGTGATAAATTCGTTCACCTATGTAAAATATTATTGTCGTCTGTAAATGGTATTATACAAATAGGCAGCAATTTTTATTGATGTAAAATTGTTGAGATAGAATTCGTCTCGTGTTTATCGTGTATAAAATACCCTGATCACGCGTAAACAGTAGAACATACATCATTCCTTCATTGCCATTGGACGGGTTGTTCGACCTTGCAGGTAGATCTTCGGGACGGGGAATAATATATGTCTTAAATAATATTAATATACGCATTTCAGTTCAGTAGAAATTTGATTGGTTTACTAAACCTAATAATCAAATTTTCTTCCTTTCTTTTAACTTGACATGGTTTCTTTGTTAAAATTACGGAGTTGGCCATATTATAATACGAAGAATTAATTTATCGAACAATTTATCGGATGGTGAAATTTGAGACATCTTTCTTTACAAAGTCCTGATTAGAAAGTGTATGACAATGGTTGTTTAGTTACACGACCGGCATATATAGTAATAGTAATATGATTGTAGCGATATAAACTGCAATTACCAAAGACCTTCGTCGAGAAAGAGAATTGTATGGAATAAATTATGATAACTAGTCGCGCGCCGGTTTATGAACTCTACAATAATTAGCTGCCACACAAGCTAACTTGTTGTCTTTAGTATCCGAACATACTACAAATAGCCATAACCATACCAGGTTACGGGAAAGTCACGACACACTTGAAATTCTAATTGTCTTATTCAGACTATGTTGTCAGTTCCAGGAGTCAAGATATGCGATTGAAAGCTTGGTCCAAGCCTCCTTAGAAGACGGTCGACTATGAATATGCTTGACACCTACGAATCCTGGACACGGATAAAAAAAATGTCTGTTATTTTTTCGTCAAGGCATTTATGATACCCGACAGTAAAAAGACAACTCGACTCGACAACATCTACTCCACTGTGGCTTAAACGCCAATAACAGTGGTATTAGTATTACGTGAAAGCGATTCCAACACTTGTGAATATACTCACTTCTGACACACGAGTACAACAATAATGACACTAGCTTTAGAAGATATTATCGAATGGCTTTCATTCGTCGTCGCAACCAACTCATAATGGGATTTTACCGAGCATGACGATAACTACTACATGGTTGCTGATAAACTCTTTTTACCCTTGTTACACTCGATATGGGGGTTCTGCATCGCTACTTTACGAGAGTGTAGATTAGATTAAGGGTACGGACAAGAGAAAAGACCATTATCGCGATGCGAATCCAGTAATTTCTCTGCTCACTTCACTTTGTTCCTTCCAAATCGTCTTTATCATTGTTCTTCTCCAACTCCTCGCACAATGTCGTACTAACATACTGATTGGTTAACAGCCTAGCACATACAAAACCTAATGGTAATTAAACTTTACATTCTGATCTATCGAGCCGGAATACTTAGCATGGTTATATTGAAAGTCTTGGATAAGGTATAATTTCGTCCTTGGTGATAGCGAAAGCAAAACGATTTGCCGTTATCTAGCTTGATTGGATTGGTTTCTGACAAACGAGCAAGACATATTGACTAGTACATATTTTCTTTTTCAAGACTAAACTATGGATGGGCATATTAGCCGCTTGTACGTTTGTTTATTTTAGAGATGCCCATGTAATATTCGTTATCCTAGGAGCAATAACGACTTGGATACTAGGTGAGGTCATTTATGTTCCATGTACAATATGCACTGTTCGTTCGATCTCTCTAATTCGCACATTGATGTCATAACTCTTGGAGGATGTTTTTCCAATTTGCTTTCCAACCCCATTCGAAACGTCTCTCGATTTCCTTAAACCATGTGCACACACACTCTATTTACCCCTTGTTTCTCTTTCTTCACACTCCCGTTCTCAAGTTCGAATACTAAAGCGCCTAATCCGCCAACCGCGTCCGAAATCCGGCTCAAAGCCCAGCACTTATGGCATGCCGTCAACTCATTCAGCCTCGACCATCTACTTTGCGGTCTACATATCGCTCTACATCGCATCATCCACCCGCACCTTGACGGTTCCTCTCACTCTTTTTATTACCATTCTACTCATCGCGGCATTGTCTGTCGTCTGGTCCCGTGTCGAGCTAGGACATCACACTCGCGGACAGGTGATCGCTGGGACGATGGTCGGGTGCTTGTGTGCAAGACTGTGGCATTCGCTCTGGTGGGAGTATGCATTGCCATTGTCGGTTGACTTGGGTTTGAACAAGAGGCTAGGCGTGCACGAAATTGGAATCGTCGTTGGATACGTGTGGGATGTGTTTAGAGAGCATGTAACGGTAAGGTAGCAAAAATAAGCGTGACTAACGCTCGTCATTACGGGTTTACGAGGTGGTAGTAGTTAAAAGATAGTAGTCTTGATTTATATAATGTCAATATAGATGAGATAAATTATAGATCTCTGTATTTGAGTCCCCATGGGATTTTGTGCAGGACCATCCGTTCGAGTAAAGAAAAGTTGGGTGAAAACCAGCCGTTGATTAATTCATACATCAATGTCGAATGTAAATAAGGGTTTCCTCGCATGTCGGGTATAAATCACATGGGGGCAAGTGAACATTTGATTATGTAAGCTAAAAATGGCTGAAACAACTAATGTCACGTTTGGGGAAGGCTTTGTTTTAGTGGTACAGCTTTGCCTCATGTACAATCTGTTGCATCTTAAATCTATATCTTTTTACTTGAAGCTAACGTGCTTTTATACAAAACTGATTTCTTTTGTCTTTATGATTATAATAAAACTGAGCATCCCGAATCGAAGCTGGCATCTCGCACGATATTGATTAGATGTCACTTGGACAATGTGCTATTTCGAATTGGCTTCAGATTGTGATTTGGGCTAGAACAATTCACACGCAAGTCACATAAGTTTCATGCTGCTGAATCATTTTCATCATTTTCACATGCATAAAGAGAGGTGTGCAAATTTCAACAGTTAAACTGGAAGTCGCGTTGCTCATGCACTTTGTACCAATCACTTCACATGATTCTCTATCCAACCTCAGGAATCTTGTCTACAACATCCTAAAAAATCTTGATGATGCATCTGTTAGAAATATGGAAGTTCCAGGATTAGGTTTATGCTCATAATGTGGAATAAATTTTTGCTCTCCGTCATCTTGTGGCTATGTCTTCCATAGACTATGCATTGAAAAAAAATGTTGCCTGGTATTCTAAACATGTGTCCTTACCCGAATGTGCAAAAGCTATTAAAACAGGAGGAATGATCAAGTGGAACTTCGGCCATATCTAATCTGACAATTGGCCAAAACGTGGATGTGAATGAAGATGGGGAGGAAATAGTAACTCAACCTGGTGGCCAGTCGTACGAAGCGGACTAATCCCGCCTCCGTGAGTAAAAAAGCTAAGCCACCGGTTTAAAGATGAGAATTCTCGCATATTGACAAGGCCTATCAGGAGTTAAGTAGTAATGTCCCGCGAATTTCCGAAGTTAGAGAAAGGAAGGCTCTCAAAAGAGAATCCATACAAGGGGTGAGGATAGGTTTTTTTTTCTTCAAAAATATCCAAGGCTGAGAAACAAAATAAAGATATCACTTCAGAGGGTGGAGCTAATGAAGCGTCCATTCAATATAAACATCTCAAAGAGCATGAAGTTAAAAATCAGCTCCCCAAGGAGGTTGCCAAACCCAGAATTCGGAAAAAAACCAGAAAGGTCTATGGTTGTTGTTTTTTTTTCGTATTAGCGACGACAAAAATCAATGGATGGGCATTCATTCAACGAATGAAAACATTTACGGCATCATCCATTTCGAAGTTATTGCATCCCAAGTTAGAAAGAATAACTGGAACATTCCTTCACTGTCATACTAATACAAATACAATAAAATTTATTCGCATGTGCGATATAAATGTTGAATTACACTAAATCAAAGTTCAATGATAAAGATCAAATTGAGTTTCACAAACTGCACATACAAATCACGTATGCTCAAAAATGTCAAGGGTTAGCGGGAGTGTGTTTAATCAAATTTACATAAAAGTGTTGAATTTATTAACATCATGTATTAGTATAGTGTTTCGTTTTCATTGACTAACTTTCTAGTAAACTGAACGAACCACTGAAAGTGAAAGATGATTGTAACTCAGTATTATCCTTATTTGTTTGTTCTTGAAAAGTTCAATAAAATGTATAGAAACGAACATAACATCGGGAAATGAAGTGATGGATGGCGACGAAGTACGTGTAGCAGTAAGCGGTTGTACCATTTGTATCATGGGAATAGGGGTAGAAAGTCTTACCGACAGTTTCCGGTTGACATTTAATACGTACTTGTAAATAATATTTTGATTCGTATTGGATGATGTCTTTGGCGCGTTGACTACATTATTGACGAGTATATTTTTTTGGACATAAGATATATATTCCCAAGTGACACATACAACATAATAGTATACGTACTGTATATAATAAGTATAATAATAATGAAGTTTATAATAAATATACATTTCTTTAACTAAATGGCGCAAATCAACATAAAATAAATATCTGTTTATGTACTGTAAGCATACAATAATAATTTAAATGCAACGTTAGTCATTTAGAAGAAAACGAAATGGAAATTTGTGAAATAGATAACGATAAGCACGCAAATCTGCATCGATAAAGGCAAATCGAATCTCAGCGAATAAGAATTATTTTTCGTCATGTGACATGTCAGAAATGTTGTCCCGATGACATGAAAGAATTTTGGCTGGGTAAATAAAATTTCATATTGAAAGAAAAACTTTTTTTCCATAGTTCGAAGTATAGAATCATACATAACAATAATGCATACTTGGCTTTTAGAAGTTAAACTTTAACTATAGCAAAGGAAGAAAGAAAAGCAACAACCATGTATAATAAACTAAATTTCTGAACCAATTGTTCATCCGTGTGTATCGTGTAAAATATAATATTAAAGCAAATAACAATGGTTCAATTCACATTATATTTCGCGTAACTAAAATTAAATTTATACATTTTACGAAATACAAATAAAGGACATAGTAGATAGCAATAAAATATCAAGAACAATTTGTTGCAAGAAACTTTGGCATAATACAACAAATATCGAAATGTTACTTCATACAGAGCAAGTGAATATCAGTGTACAATTATGAAAAGTCGATACACGGAATATCTACATTTTACGCTTGAGTAACGATACAAGTTTTAATATTATTTTTTTTATAAAAAAGAGTACAACACGGAGGCAAAAAAGAAGTGAGCCAGTGCTAGTGCTAGATCAAGAGCTAGATCAAGAGTTAGATTTAGGTATAGATATATAAAAATGTGCAGTACAAATTTAGAAATAAGGTTAGCGTAATTTCCTAAATCATGACGAATCAACAGTAGTAGTAGTATCAATGCACCGAAAAATAAACAGAGTTTAGTCCCTTGCTTCTCAGTTATACATATTCTATTCTCTCAGTTTCCGAAAAAACTCTTTGTATGGAAAAGGAATTTTGTCAAACGAAAATTGCAGAACTTGTGCGCCCGATTAACCAACTAATTATAAGGGTGCTAGTGTAACGCGTCACCGTAAATGTGCGCTGTAACACAATAATAATAATAATAAATTGAAAACTTTTTTGTTCAAAGCCATGTCGTTAGTTTTAGTTCCAACATGCATAATTCAGCAATTGACAGCTTGGTCCAGTCCTCTTTAGAAAGTGAGCATAAACTTGAATGGATTCCTTCCGAGAAAATCACTAACATAAAGCCGACTCAAATTGACAACGTTTACTACGCTCGTTTTGATACAATAACGCTGGTATTTCTTGGAAGTAACGAAGAATGCACAGCAACACTTGTGAGTGAGTTTGCTAGGATATACTCACTTTCAATACAACAGTACAATAACAATGACAATAACTTTAGA